AATTTTTGTTTGTTTTGCCATGAGATACATAATTAATGTTTATGAGAAGAGCAAGAGTCCCTCCCTTCTTTTTTTCCAGAGAGCTATTGTTGTTACTGGAAAGAATGGACTGTAGACAAGCTACTTGGTCTTTTTGTTCCCAGGAACTGTGGAATTTTCTAATAAATTACATCTCCTGTGTATCTGAGAACCAAGATTATTTTCACTGTGGAAGAAAGGAGGTACAGATGGAATACAGAATTATTATAGTTTTGATATACACTGAATTTGATTGCAAAATATCGTGATCTCATGAGGTATTATATATACATGAATAGGTATTGTTTCACAGTAAAACCAAAGTGCTGTGGTTTGGATAATTGCTTGTCTCTCATAAATTCATGGTTTGGAATTTGTCCTTAATGTAACAACTTTGGGGAATGGTGAGCACTTTAAGAAGCAGAGCCTAGTGGAAGGTATAATTCAACTGGCTAGAAACACAGGAGTGACAAACAGAAGTACAAAAGTTTGTTTCCTCTTTACCCCACCTCCCCTTTTTTGCGTATGCTTTCCTTTCTACCTCTGTCAGCCATATTATGATGCCAATACCATGTCTTTGGACATTTTAGTCACAAGAACTGTGAATCAAATAAATCTCTACTCTTTATAAATCATCCAGTGTCAGGCATTTCTGGTAACAACATAATAATGAACTACAACACAGAGTTTCTTGAAGAAAAAGATGTCCTAGGTCTGGGGCAGAAAATGTACAAGATGATCTCATATGTTCATAGTAAGACTGTTTATAACAGGCCAAACTGGACACCATCTATATGTCATCAGTGACAGCAGGAACAATTCAGTTGTGGGGTATTTCTATAATGGAACACTATACTTCGATGAGAATGAACACACTGTTAATTCATTTGACGATATGGAAGAATCTTATAAACATAACACTGAGCCAAAGAAGCAACACACAATAGGGAATATACATTTATATATATATATTATCCCATTTATATAAAACTCAAAAACAGAAAAAACTACTTTATGATTTTAGGTTCTAGGAGAGCTGTTATCTTTGGGAGAGTAAGTATTGATTAGAAGCAATGCTCCATATGGGGAACCCAGCAGTTAGTGTAATAGCTATGTCGCTGGACTCCCACGTAGTTGACTGCAGTTCGTGGCCTGGACCCGGTGGCTTAAAACTCATGCCGGGCGTGTGTGTGTACGTGCACAAGATCCTGAGAGGAGAATGGAGGAGAAGGGATTGCGGTGTGACCATCTCCCCTGGAGGCTGATATCTCACTTTCTATCTCTATGTTTCTCTCTGTCTGTCTGGCGAGCGCACGCGCCCTATAGCAAAAACCCCCCCAAAAAAAAAAAAAAAAGGCAATGCTCCATATCTACATTTCAGTGTTGATTATACAGATTATGTTCATTTAATGAAAAAATTCATGGAGTTGTACACTTAGAATTTATGTATTTTTTGTATTTGTTATACTTTAATGTTTCTTAAAACAAAAAAACAAACAAACAAAAAAACAGGGGCAAGTAGGTGGTGTAGTGGTCACTGCAGTTTGAGTCCTAGACCCAGAGGCTTGATAATCACACCAGGCACATGTGCGTGCACATCCAAGATCTCAGGAGGAGAACGGAGAAGGGGTTGCAGTGTGGCCATCTTCCCTGGGGGGTGATTTCCCACTTCCCCCCTCACAGTCTCTGTATCTCTCTCTCTAGCAAGTACATGTACACTAAAGCAAAAACCTCAAAAAAGAAAATAAAGAGACAGGTAGATCTGCATTTATTGATAAAAAAAAATCTCTAAGCTTGTGTGAATAAAGACAAGATAGGAATCACGAGCAGAGTAGGAGATCATTTAAGTAATAATAAAAACCCAGGGGCTGGCAGGTGGCATGCTGGTTAAGGGCACTGGACTCCCACATAGCCAACTGTGGTTGGAGTCCCAGACCTGGGAAGGGAAGATAGAAAACACATGAAATCTTTTATCTATGAAAATTTAACATTATGTAACGAGAATATTTTCATATACTACACATACAATCAAAACCAAATATTTCCAAAAGGCTGGACTGTTCTTAAGTTAACTGAGAAAATGGTTCTTTAAATAGCCTAAAAACTTCAGAAAGTCCTTTAAACATTAATATGTCTTTTGAAAACTTCAAAAGTTCATTGAAACCTACAAGATACCAAAGTTATATAACGTAATGATCAGAAATGTATTTTTATACACCCAAATAGAACTGACCATTAATAAGACTATTCTACAGAAAAATGGACCAGAAAACTTTGCTGACTGACCCTTGCTGCATCCCAATCCTTTGGAAAGGTCCTATTGCCTCATTTTTTTTTTTGCTTAAATCTTTTTTTTTTTTTGGACAATTTGAAGTGGAAGAGAAAAAAGTTTAGAAACACACTACATCATTTATATGTTTCTGTCTTCAGAAGGACTGTGCCACTCTGTAACCTTTCTTTTATACTGTTCTCAAGAATAACTTTCATCTTTGCACACTTATAAGTAATCAATAGAGGGTGGTGTGGTGGTTTAGGCGCTGGACATTCCCAAAAGGCTGATGACAGTTTGAGTCCTGGACTTGGTGGCTTGCTTTCTCACTTTCTCTCTCTCTCTCTCTTTGTCTCCCCGGGTCAAATTAAAATAAATGAAGGATCAGCAGTTTGTGTAATGGCTATGTCACTGGATTCCCATGTAGTCGACCACGGTTTGAGTCCTGGACCTGGTGGCTTAAACTCATGCCAGGCGTGTGTGCGTGCGTGCCCAAGATCCCAAGAGGAGAATGGAGGAGAAGGGACTGCAGCATGGCCATCACCCCAGGGGGGTGATTTCTTGCTTTCTGTCTCTCTCTCTCTCTCTGTCTGTCTGGCAAGCGCATGGGCCCTATAGCAAAAACCACCCCCCCAAAAAAAATTAAAATAAATGAGTGAATAAATAAAATTAAGATAAATAATTCTTAAAAAATAAGTAATCAAGGGAACCAGCAGTTAGCGTAATGGCTATGTCACTGGACTCCCACCTAGTCGACCGCGGTTCGTGTCCCGGACCCGGTGGCTTAGAACTCACGCCGGGCGCGTGTGCGTGTGTGCCCAAGATCCCAAGAGGAGAATGGAGGAGAAGGGATTGCGGCGTGACCATCCCCCCTGGGGGGTGATTTCTCGCTTTCTGTCTCTATGTCTCTCTCTGTCTGTCTGGCGAGCGCACGCACCCTATAGCGAAAATCTCTCCAAAAAAAAAAAAAAAGTAATCAATAGAATACATGTGCTGTAAATGTTAAATTCAGATCTTATGCTTTTGTTGAAATACTGAGGACAAATTAACTCAGTTTTTTATTTTGCTCAGTTTAATACAACTAATTCCCCTGCCTAACCCTTACAAAGAGGCATTCACGGAAATAAAAAGACACAATATTAGTATTATATACTATTATAAATATAGTAATAAAGTCAAAATTCTATTGTCTTTCCAATGAGGCAAGTCTTTCTGGGTCCTTATCCAGTCCATTACTCTATAGTGAAAGGGATGGTATGTGTAAATTCTAGTGAGGTGTCACATGACATTGATCATAGAACTATGCATCTTAAAGAGTCCAAAAGAGTGAACAAGACCCAGACAGAAAGCAAGAGAATATACTCTATAGATTCACATAGAACTCATATGACATATTTATCGGTAGTGAGAACTTTAACATGAGGGACCAGCAGTTAGCGTAAAGGCTATGTCACTGGACTCCCACGTAGTCGACCGCGGTTTGAGTCCCCGACCCAGTGGCTTAAACTCACAGCGGGTGCGTGCACGCCCAAGATTCCAGGAGGAGAATGGAGGAGAAGGGATTTCTGTGTGGCCATCCCCCCTGGGGGGGTGATTTCTTGCTTTCTGTCTCTCAGTCTCTCTCTGTCTGGCAAACGCATGTGCCTTAATGCAAAAACCTCTTCAAAAAAAAAAAAGAACTTTAGCATGATAGCAGCTCACCAATCTTTTCTCAAAAATAATACAACACTATGTCGATCTTTCTTGTTTTAAAAGCTAAGGAGATCAACTGTAGGTTCTCTGAATAGGGCCTTCCACTAAAGCCAACAACTCAATTTTAACAAAAAGAAAGTAGCATGGTGTTTACCAAAGAGAAATATTATGGGCTTTGTACTTTTTCCCTTTCTTTCAATGCTATTTAAAATGTGAATTCATCTGTAAAACCTTCCACAGCTTGAGACCTCGTTATTTCAGGGATCCGCAAGGTAAACACTCTCAAATGAGGTACATGATTTAGGCTTTGAGAACCCTGAAGCTTCAGGGCATTTTCTGTAATAGGTTCATGAAATAAATATACTGGGCTCAAACCCTATGGTTTCTTGAAAATGAATATAATTATAAAATTCAAAACAACAAATTAAATGTGTTCATAGGTAATATCCAGATTTAAATCAGATTACCACCTGCCTGCTGTTGTCTATGCTAACTTATCATCTAATGTTCTCCCAAACATGATTTTCTCTCCATCCTCACAAAAAACCCACTATCCTGTTTATTTTCAATAGCGGAAACAAAATCAGTCATTCTATTTAAGCATTATTCAAAATATGTTTAAAAATAAAAGGAAAAGATCACATTTTATACCATATATATATATATATATATATATAGAGTGTTATAACAAAATAAACTTATAATTATGATTTCTTACAAACCTGAATTCCAAATCCTATGAAAAGAACTTAAATTGAAGAAGCATAATATAAGATCTGTTTTATATTCAGTTATACATTAAAAAAACTAAGTATACTATTAGCTCTGGCAAATGGTCAAAAGTTCATTCTAAAACATCCCACCTTTTACATAAGGTATTTATTACTCAACTTGTTTAGTTTGTGATTCCACATTTTTATATTCTAAATCAAATTCTCTTTTTGTCATTACTGCTGTTTGTTACTGTACTATGATTATCTATGTGTTAACAGGCAGCTCCCTTTAAAGTCTGGCTACATACCAAAAGCTGCTACTTTGATAATTATTGCTTGAATGTTAGATGATATCATCTCTCGAAGCAAATCTTCCTGGTTTCTCTGCCAGAGGTAAGCTAAAGGTTGGAGACTAAGCCTTTTACACCTATAAAATACAAAAAAAGAAAAAAAAAAAGAAAGAAAGAAAGAAAAAAAAATCAGATGGTATCTTAATATTCCACTCTTAAATCTAGAGCAATTACTTTGATTTTAAACATAATGCTTCTTTCAAGGATTTTAGCATTTAGACTGATTTTAGAAACATGTTTTGTATAATGAAGTTTATATATATAACATAAATATATTTAATTTCCACAGGCTATGCATAAACAGATAAAAATGAAATTTCTAGGCAGGCTAGAATTATTTTAGAACAATTCTATGTTTAGAAACTTCTGTAAAAATTTACAAATGCCAATGAATGATTATTCTGTTTTTTATAACTTCTATGTGTATTAAACTTGTAAATCATGAAAAATGGGCAAAAAAATTATCCTTATAAATAATTATATATTGATTAAACTTATAATAGCTATTAAATTTATAATACCTATATAAACTACAGTCATGTGTCACTTACCTACAGGAATATGTTCTGAGAAATGTGTCGTTAGGTGATTACATCACTGTATGAACAGCGTAGAGAGTACTTGATAGACCTAGATGGTACAGCTTACTACAGTTCTAGACTGTGATATAGTTTATAATAATTTTATGGGATCACAGCTATACCAGTGGTCCATCATTGACCAAAACATCATTGAGTGGTCCAGGACTGTATTCTGATTTACTAAATTTGAAGTGTTTATAAAAATTCCACTCTGAGGGAAAATATTTTGAACAGAAAGAGCTCCCAATATGCTGCAGGCACTGCACTAGATACTTCACATTATTGGTGTGGTGAGAGAAAACAGGTTTTTGTGCCAAGACAAATCTAGGTTTGAAATCTCATGGTGCACTCTAAATGTACTGCTTTGGCAAGTCAAGTAAACTAAATCCTGTCCCTTGTTTCTTATTTCATAAATAGGTAGGAGCAAGCTTTCAAAGTTCAAGAGAAGATTAAAATATTAGGAAACAAAGTTATCCTTTACTCTTCACATTCCACATCCAATCTACCACAAAACAGAATGTGATCATTCCTCATCAGTATCACTGCTAACACCATGGTCTGGGACACTACTATCTCTCAAGTCAATATACTCATTCCTTTTCTTGCTTCCACAGTTGTCCTTTTAAAATCAATGTCACTACAGCAGCTAGCATGATCCTTGTAAAACAAAATGGACTGTGGGATTCCTCTAGTCAAAACCCTCCAGTGGCTTTCCAACATTTTGGGTAAATATCCTTTAAGAATATCACCCTGGGTAGTAAATACCTTATTGCCTGCTACTCTCCTCTCACTCAACCCTACCACCTCTTGCCTGCTCTTCTTGCCTACAATACTAGTTGTTTATGTTAACTTCCTCCCTTGATTCACTTAAGTCTCACTTTGTCAGGGAAGACTATAATTGGTTAACTAATTAAAGATAATGTAAATAAAGGGCCCCCAGGTGGCATGGAGGTTAAGGCACTGTATCCTACATGGCCAGCTGCAAGGTCTGAGTCCCAGACCCAGGGGCTTAAAAATCACACTGAGGGGACCAGCAGTTAGGGTAATAGCTATGTTGCTGGATTTTGATGTAGTTGACAGTGGTTTGAGTCCCAGATCCAGCGGCTTAAACTCATGCCAGGTGCATGTGTGCATGTCCCCACGATCCCGAGAGAATGGAGAAGAGATTACAGCATGGCCATCCCTCCTGGGAGGTGATTTCTCGCTTTCTGTCTCTATGTCTCTCTCTTTCTGGCAAGCACACGCATCCTATAGCAAAAAGCTCTCCAGAAAAAAAAAAAAAAGGAAAAAATGTCTCTAAAAAAAAAAAAAAAAAAAAAAAGAAAGAAAGAAAATCACACTGAGTACATGTGCATGCCCAAGATCCCAAGAGGAGATTGGAGGAGAAGGAATTACACTGTGGCCATACCCCCTGGGGGAGATTTCTCACTTTCTCACTCTCTTTCTCTGTCTCTTGCACCTCTTTAGCAAAAACTAAAACGGAAGATAATGTAGGTTAAAAAAAATGTAATAAATACAATACCCAGGTATAGTGGGTATTCAGTAAGTTGTCTCAGCCAAGTCACTAGTTCAAATCACATACTAAGTGGCTGAGATCAGATTTCGAATGAAGACTGTAGCTCTATAGCCCATTTTTCCTAGTATCTTTAAGGTTTATAACTCTAAAACCTGTCATTCCTAGTATCTCTAAAGTTGCCTGGCTGACTACACTGGCCTGTCCTGATTGCTCACTTAGATAATCCCAGTACTGATATACCGCATGACTGGTCATTTACTCATATATAGCCTTGAAAATATCATGAGGAGGGGACCAGAACATGGCATAGCGGTTGTCGCTGGACTCCCAAACAGCTAACCACAATTCGAGTCCTGAACCTGCCCTAAGGCAAACACCTTTACCAGAAAAAAAAAAAAAAAAAAAAAATCATGTGGAAAGTTAAGGTTGATGGATTCCACATGGATAGCTGAGTAGCTTGAGTCCTGGACCTGACAGCTTGAAAAACACACCAGGTGCATGTGTGCCCCAAATCTCTCAAGAAGGAGAGAGAAGGGACTGAGGCATGGCTATCCCCCATGGGAATGTTTTCTCACTTTCTCCCTCTATCTCTGGCAAGTGCACATTCCCGGGTGTGGGGGGGAAGGGGGGAGATAGCCACTTAAAAAAAAAAAGTCTTGGGAACCAGCAGTTAGCGTAATGGCTATGTCGCTGGACTCCCACCTAGTCGACCGTGGTTCGTGTCCCGGACCCGGTGGCTTAAAAAACTCACGCCGGGCGCGTGTGCGTGCGTGCCCAAGATCCCGAGAGGAGAATGGAGGAGAAGGGATTGGGGCATGGCCATTCCCCCTGGGGGGTGATTTCTCGCTTTCTGTCTCTATGTCTCTCTCTGTCTGTCTGGCGAGCGCACGCGCTCTACAGTGAAAATCTCTCTAAAAAAAAAAAAGGATTATTTATTTAATTGTATTTATTGCTATTTTTAAATTTCCTATAGGGAACATGTACTCATCAGATTGAGAGAGAGAACAAGAGAGAGAGAAAGCCTTCAGGACTGGGACTTGAACCTGAGTTGGCCCTGCGGTAGTCTAACGCCTTAACCACTATGCAATCTGCTGGTCCCAAAGCCACTATTTTAAATGTACACATACCATGACTTTCAAGAGATCAAAATTTTCCTCACTGCAGAGACTGTTTTAAGTAGTTTTCCTTTTAACATATCTCAGAGCACTTTAAGCAATGTTGAGGTAGCTAATAAATGCAAAATAATAAAAATCTAAATTAGCCAGATAATGGAAGAGTTACCGTTCTTGCTGTCCTTTCACTAAGAATCAAACTAGCCTCTCCATTGCTTTTAGCTAAAATTTTACTTTCTCACTAAAAAAAAAAAAATTCTTCCTGTTCTTATTGCAAAATTCTTGTTTTGAAATTCATAATCTTTTGACTATTTTTAGACTTAAGCTAAACTTCTTAACCTAGTTAAATTCTTTCATAATTCAAAATATCATGGCTCAAATAAACTTCTATATGGATAAGCCACTGTTGTACTTGAGCTTGTGAATCTACTGAACACTTTATATCTTAAAAATGTAATGATATAATGATACAAAACAAACTATAAATTAGGGACAGATTAATTCAAAGCTAAGCTTATAGATGAGTGAATTCCTGGTAACACTGCTTTGAAAATTTAAAGTATGAAATTATTACAAATATGCTTTATGATCTACAAACTGGTCTTTTTCTTTTTCTTTTTCTTTTTTCTTTTTTTTTTTTTTTTGCTATAGGGCACATGTTCTTGCCAAAGAGAGACAGACAGGGAGGAAAAGAGAGAAAGAGAGAAAGTGAGAAATCACCCCCGCCCCCAATCCTGTGAGGGCTGGAGGGAACACACTGCAATCCCTTCTCCTCTATTTTGCCCTTGGGATTTTGGATACACACGTAAATGTGACCAGCATGATTTTCAAGCTTCTGGGTCCAGAACTTGAACCACAGCGCTGGCTAAGTGGCATCCAGCTGCTTTAACCTCCATGCCACCTGCTGGCCCCCAATCTGGTCATCATCAACCATATATTAAAGTGAAATTGTTTTGAGGAAGTCTTGCCTCTATTCATGGGTACACCACAGACCTTTCACTCCCATATATGGCAACCTCATAATTAGGAACATATTTTCATCTGGCTTTTCATATTGCCTTTTAAGTGTATTTATTTGTTCCACCAGAAAGATAGAGACAGAATCAGAGACAGAAAGAGAGAAACCAGGATCCCTAATAGGGTCTCCATTCGTTGATCTATGCCCTGTTGTAATCAACTAGAACCATGGGTGTGCATGGCATGCAAAGGGAGGTCTCTGGATGCACACCTGGAATCTTCCCACATGGGTCCAGCATCACAGAGCAGTTCAGTGCATCATCACCATGATACCAGGTGGCTCCTTACTTGGCTTTTTAAGTTTTCATAAATGGAGTAGTCAGGTCTATCTGCAGCTTGGCTACCTATTAAAAAAAAGTGAGTTTGGGAACCAGCAGTTAACGTAATGGCTATGTCGCTAGACTCCCACGTAGTCGACCGTGGTTCATGTCCCAGACCTGGTGGCTTAAAACTCACACCGGGCACGTGAGCGTGCATGCCCAAAATCCCGAGAGGAGAATGGAGGATAAGGTATTGTGGCTTGATCGTCCCCCCTTGGGGGTGATTTCTCGCTTTCTGTCTCTAATGTCTCTCTCTGTCTGACTGGAGAGCACACGCACCCTATAGCGAAAATCTCTCAAAATAAATAAATAAATAAGTGAGTTTGATGCTAAAAAAAAATGTTAACATGGGCCTATAATGCAGCAGTAGTTAAATATTATAAATGGAAAGTCAGTCACACATGGATAACCATCACCTGGTGCTAGTGGTTTGAAAAACATGTCAGGTCATGTGTGTGTGTGTGTGTCCCAAATCCTGACAGGATGGAGAAATGGAGAAAATAAGATTGGAGCATGATCATGCTCTATTGTGGTGTGCTTTCTGTATCTGTCTTTCTGACTCTCTCAGATAAGCACATGGACCCTCTGGCAATAAAAACACAAGAAAGCCACTAGTGTGTAAACTAAATAACTTTCAGATATGACCTAAAACTTGATGAGAGTAACATTTTTCTCCTAATGTACGCATAAGAGATATACAAGCCATCTCCTTCTGTAAATCAACTGTTCTCAAATGTAGATAGGCAGAATGGAAGTAAAACTTTTTCAAAATACAAATGTTTGACCACCTCACCTACTTCTACTTCCAATGCTCATTATCCAGATCTCCTAAACTGTGAGATCATTGCATTTACTTCCACTTAACTATACTTGCCCTTCATTTATTTTAAAAATTCTGTATTTTAACTTCCTCAAATCCACCATGGAATTAGAGAGAAAATAAATAAAATTAAAATAAAACTTAGGTTTTCATGTTCATTAATATTCAGATTTTTTAATGAGGTAGTCAGTATGAACTATTTTTGCTAAGAATATAAAACTATTGGGAACCAGCAGTTAGCATAATGGCTATGTCGCTGGACTCCCACATAGTTGACCGCAGTTTGCGTCCCGGACCCGGTGGCTTAAAACTCACGCCAGGCGCCTGTGTGTGCGTGCCCAAGATCCTGAGAGGAGAATGGAGGAGAAGGGATTGCGGCGTGACCATCCCCCCTGGGGGTTGATTTCTCGCTTTCTGTCTCTAGGTCTCTCTCTGTCTGTCTGGCGAGCGCACGCGCCCTATACCGAAAACCTCTCAAAAAAAAAAAAGAAAAAAAAAAGAAAGAAAACTATTACATAAATAGAGCTCTTACCTTACTTGCATTTAACCTTTAGCTAGCAAAATCATTTATGCTAGGTCCAGTTGTACTCAAGAGAAACACTGGTGTCTACATTAATTGTTTTGCTAATATAATTGTGCACAAAGTCTCTATATAGTATTGATCCAAATAAATTGAAATTAAAAAAATGAATTCATTCAGGTGGTGTTTTGCCAGGCCAATATTAAATCATCAATATTATCATTTAACCTTATGTTTGTTTTTCTTTTTTTGGAGAGATATTTTTGCTATAGGGTGCTTGCGCTCACTGGAGAGACAGAGACAGAAAGCAAGAAATCACCCCCAGGTAGATGGCCAACCAGCAATCCCTTCTCTTCCATTCTCCTCTCGAGATTTTGGGCATGCACGCACACACATCTGGCTGGGTACAGGACTATAACCACGATCGACTACTTGAGAGTCTAGTTATATAACCATTATGCCATCTGTTGGTCCCAATCTTACAATATTTTTAATAAATCAATGGAATTGACTATTTGGGTATTTGTAGATACAGACTAAACATTTTACTAGTGCTACATCCCTTGAGGTAGTAGGGGTAGAGGAATGGAGGACAGGTGAATGGTTGTATATATAAGTATTTCAATCACAAGAATATTTTTGACCAAGAACTAAAATTTTAACCCAAAACAAGGAGATTCCTCAACAAGCACTTTTTTTCTTTAAAATATTATTGCATTCTTTTTATTAACTTCTGACTTTTTTTTTTTTGGAGAGATTTTCACTGTAGGGCGCGTGCGCTCGCCAGACAGAGAGAGACATAGAGACAGAAAGCGAGAAATCACCCCCCCAGGGGGGATGGTCACGGCGCAATCCCTTCTCCATTCTCCTCTCAGGATCTCGGGCACGCACGCACACGCGCCCGGCGTGAGTTTCAAGCCTCCGGTCTGGGACACGCACCGCGGTCGGCCACGTGGGAGTCCCGCGACATAGCCATTACACTAACTGCTGGTTCCCCACTTCTGACTTTTTATCACAAATGACAATGAGTTAACAGGATATATTAAATCAACAAGAAAAGTTGAAGATGCTACTTTTTACTTTAAAAATCTTTGTTTCAGGCCAGCCCCAGTGGCACAGCAGTAACACATACTTTGTAATGCTGAAGTCCCAAATTCCTAGCCCAGGATCTCCCTATGCATACTGAGTACAAGTGCTTATGCCTCTGTCTTGGCTGGCTGAGGCTGGGGGCTGACAATGACATAAAGACCCTGTTGTAGTGCTGTTTCTCTCTTTCTCTCTCTTGCTTTGTCTCTTGCAGAAGAAACAAATAAATTTAAAAATACAAATCTTGCCTCTTTTTTACTAGGTTATTTATTTTTTACAGTAAGTTAAAAACCTTTCTCATGTTTAACACAAGGACAACAAAAAGTGAAAGTGTGACTTTTGTTACTTAGGTAAATAAATATATATAAACTCCATGGCACATGTACATCATATCTATTTATGATTTGAATATAATTATTTATTTTCTCTTATTTATACTCTTAAAATATATATACTTTTAAAATACAGGACAAATGAATGATCTCTTACACATTTTCTACTCGAACACGCTGATAGTCAGAAAGTATAGCACCTACTGATATCCCCTCTACTTCTTCTTTTTCCTAAAAATGTAAAAAAAAAATTTTTTTTAAATAAACACATGACTCTGCATTGTGCTCTGAAAATTATAAATGACCTCATCTAATAAACCACCTTGATGCAGACAATTTACTAAAATACAATCCACATTCCAGAAAAAATATATATAGATATTTAAATCATTCTCTCAGCTGTGAGGAAAAAAATTATAATTTCACTTAAAATTTAAACTAAAGACCCCTTCCCATGAAGAAAACACTTCACAAATGTTTTCAGACTGAACATATTTTTAAAAGGTCACAAATATCTAATGGAAACTTTAGAGAAATTTCTGTTTAAGGATGATCCTAGGTCAAGTAACTTCTTTTTAATTAAGCAACGACATAAACAGATAATACAATGATTTTTATCTATATTTTAGAAAATGATGCATGACATATGAGCACTAAGAAAGCAGAAATGATAGATGCACTGCCTAGATAACAGTATAGTGCAGGCAATAGAAAATTCTATGATAGGAAGGAAGCAATGAATTATTAAGATAATTAAAACTAAGAACATCCAGCAGTACATCCAGCACAGTCCCATAAGGACATGGACTAGTCTGTCTACCATCCACGTAATGAGCTGGAGGAGAATGTAAATTCGAGGATGATCAAGTGTGTAGATAAAAGGAAGTTAAGATGAATTAAAAAGAAAAGGGGGTCAATCAAGTACATGGATGGGTATGGACAACTTGGGGATTCTGAAGGACAGTCTACAATGAATATTTTTAAAAATATTTATTTAATTTTTATTTATTTGTTCATTTATTTTAATTTGGCCAGAAAGAGACAGAGAGAGAGAAAGTGAGAAAGCAAGTCACCAGATATAGGACTTGAACCATGGCCAGCCAGGTGGAAGTGTCCAGAGCCTTAACTACCATGCCACTTGCTGGTCCCCCTACAATAAGATTTAATGTAAAAAAGTATAAGATAATATACTTAGAGAAGAATTATATCCAACTTGGGTATAAACTAGGTCACTAAGGCAATAAAGAAAAATAAAAATACCATTTGAAAGATTCATGACAAAGGGTTACTATTTTTGTCTTTCAAATGAGTAAGGTACAGGTTAACACACCAATTGTAAACATAAAAAAATATATTAATAGCCAATTATTTTTTACAGTCCACAGATATTTTATTTATAAAAATTATTTTATTATTATTTTTATTTATTTACTTTTATTTGATCAGAGACAGAGAGAGAGAGAAAGAGAGAGAGAAAGAGAGGATAAGTGAGAAAGCAAGTCTCTGGGTTCAGAACTGACCTGCGGTTGGCCATGTGGGAATCCAGCACCTTAACTGCCATGCCCATCTGCCAGCCCCTATTTATTTGTTTTTAAGCACTTAGCATGCCATGAATTAATAGGGAAGTGATTCCAACAGCTCAGGGTCCTTTCCGTTGGCTCTCATAAAGTATGCTGCTTTGGATAGAGCAGGCTGGTACTTTAATTGAACCTAGGTACCTTTCTCTTCGGCTTCCTTTTTTTCTGATCATTTTCCTTCACACATATTAGGAAACTGTCTCTGCTCTTAAAGTGCTTAATATGCTTAAAATGAACATTAATCCTCTTGGCAAGCAGATGCTGTAATGGTTACGTTGTTGGACTCCCACATAGTTGACCACAGTTAGAATCCCAGATCCAGAGGCTTAAAACTCATTCTGGGCATTGGTGCATGCATGTCCAAAATCCCAAGAGGAGAATGGATTAGGGATTGCAGCGTGGTCAATCCCCCACCAGGGTGTGACGTCTCGCTGTCTCTCTGTCCTTCTTGGGTCAAATTAAAATAAATAAATGAATAAATAAAATTAAATAAAATATATTTTAAAAAATATATAGCATGCATATACAAAAATCCAACAAATTTTTTTTTCATAGATACAAATCTGGATTTGAAAAGAGACACAATTTGTAAGGCAACAAATATATACAATCTTAATTGCTGATCTTCATTTCGTAGCTGATGGCATGGTTAAATCTTCCATATTAAACAACCAATCAAAAAGGGTCTAATATGCCATCGGTCCTATTCTAATGATCAAAGTATAATATGGATATCTCCATAAGAGTTTATAACATATTTCTACAGACTTATTAATAACTACTTTCAAAAAGAGAACACTGAAGTATCAGGAACATACACACATGGCTAGAAATGGACTTCTATTATGAAATGTAAGCAATGCTGTGTTCTCATCCACACACAAAGCTCCACTATATCACAACTAAAAGGCATCCAGTACAGAGACTAGAATGAGGAAGGCATTTGACCATATGGACACAGAGAATTATATGTTTAGTAGAAAAGTTTAAAGGTAGATATCGAGATCCAAATTAGACTGTTCACTCAATAGTCACTTGTCACAATACTGAAAAGTTGGCTCACAAAGCCAACATGATAAATTGAAAACAAACTGTCCATTTTACAAATGAAAACTAAGTGTACTTATTCTAAAGATGAGAAGATATGCAGCCTGCATTTATTGGGGATATTATTTTCTTTGAAAAATGCATCAGTTACCAGTATTATGCTGTTAATGAGTTCCTGCCTGTTGAGAAAAAAATGATCTGCTGCACTTAAAGTGTTTTTCATCCGAAAAGCATTCTAACATTTTAAATATGAACCATTCATTAAAGAAGCGCCCTTTCATTATAGCTCTGAGTGGCAATATTTGGACTTCTGGCAACATGACATTATTAAATAAGATACATTTGTGAATGCCAATGATGTTCTAGGGCCCAGATAACTAAATAAGAAATTTATATGGCAGTAAAGCAATAGATGCTTTTTCTTTAAATCCTCAATTCTTCACTGTTGTAAAAATTACATCAGTCCAAACTAATAAAAACCACCACAAAAATGAATATACAGTATATAAAATAATTCTGAAAATGACACTTAGAATTTCCTAGTAATATACAGGCATTTTACTAAAATTTCTGCTTGGTTTATTAAAAAGCTTTTGTTTTTCTTAGAATCATCAATATAAAAAAATTTCTAAAATGTGAAATGATCACCATCTGGAGTTCTCCCATTAACCAGTGAGCTCATGACAGGGTAGTACTAGGTCACTAATTTGTAGCATTATTATCTGATTTTGTTAAGATTTCTCGATTAAATGGAAGAAAACATTGTTAAGGCTCAAAATTAAATGATACAGAAATCGCAGAAGATCATAACAATTTGTCAGGTATTTCCATTTAAAATTGAGAAAATATTATTGGAACATCATGACGTAATTTTCTATTAAAAATGTGTCATAACTTTTCCAATGACCCATTATTTTACTTTTAAGTCTCTATCTTAGTCATAACAGTTAAGAAGTCATCCCAGACTAAAGTCAACCTACATATGAAAGTGAAAAGAAGCCTAGAACTACAGTTGTTTTTCTTGAGTTTCCCAATACTTTCTTGTTAAAAAGATGGTATTTTCAGGACTTGTTGCTATAACGACACCAACAAAAATAAACAAAAGGTTAAATTATTGAATCTCTGTTAGAATAAAGTAAGAGTAAGTATTCTTTTCTAAGCAGCTTGTTCATACCAGTATCTGATCTGTTTAGAAGCTGCTTTCTTAACTCTTTTTTTTTCTTTTTTTTTTTTTTTGAGAGTATTTTTTTTTTTTTTTGCTATAGGACGTGTGCGTTTGCCAGACAGACAGAGACAGACAGAGAGATAGAAAGTGAGAAATCACCCACCCAGGGGGGATGGTCACACCGCAATTCCATCTCCTCCCTTCTCCTCTCGGGATCTTGGGCACACACGCACATGAGCCCAGCGTGAGTTTAAGCCACCGGGTCTGAGACGCGAACTGCAGTTGACTACGTGGGAGTCCAGCGACATAGCCATTACTACGATAACTGCTGGTCCCCTGAACTCATTTTCTAAGCTGCTAAGGAAATGTCCTTTGATTAGTTTGAGATAACCTGTACAATACAACTTATATAGACAGGATTATAATGTTTTAAAACCTACATTTAAGCTAGTACTACCCACAAAAATTATATAAAATACCATTCGCAAATGATCAGACCACATTGAAGTGTGTGTGTGCGTGTGTGTGTGATGCATATTGCATAAAACTCAATTCCTTGAAGAATTTTGTCACTAGATATGAGTCAGGTTATTACTCAAACTCTACCCTGCTTAATCATTCACTCCTTAACCTGAATTTATCAGGAAACCATCTGCAAAGCATTGTTTCCAACTTCATGCTATGAATTATCTCATTTGATCATCCTAATAATACTTCAAGGGAGATTCCATTACCTTCAAATTACAGATAAGGAAACCGAGGTCAAGAAGAAATGGCAGAGGGTAAGAGATAGGGAATCAAACATGGGGGAAAAAAGCAAAACATACAGGAAACAAGAAATGGAAAATTATTTTATGACAAGAACATGTATGTTGATGTGCTTGATTGAGACAATATACAGTGTACTCTAGATGGAAAATTTCATTTTGTATGCTGTAATGATGTACAGTGAATGAATGTAAATTAAAAAAAAGAAAAATTAAAAAAAAGAAAGGTTATATAATCTGCTCAAGGTCATTCAGTAATAAATAAAAAGGGAAGAATGAAATACCTAGTGAAAGGCTATGCTCAGAACTACCATTGAGTTGATTATCCATCTACAGTAAGCCACAGACTGTCCTAGCTCCTGCTTCATAGTTCTTCCTCAATGCTCTTAAGTGAAATGTCTTATCTGTATACAACTCTTCAATGGTCTGGGATCAGCAGTTTAGCATAATAGCTATGTCGCTGGACTCCCATGTAGTCGACCACGGTTCGAGTCCCGGGCCCGGTGGCTTCAACTCACGCCAGGCACATGTGCGTGCATGCCCAGGATCCCGAGAGGAGAATGGAGGAGAAGGGACTGCGGTGTGGTCATCCCCCCTGGGGGGTGATTTCTCGCTTTCTGTCTCTCTGTCTCTCTCTGTCTGTCTGGCGAGCGCACGTACCCTATAGCGAAAACC